ATTAAACATACAATGTATTCAACCCAGGCCATTAAACATGCAATGTATTGTACCCAGACCATTAAACATACAATGTATTGTGTCTGGACCTATTTTTCACAATGCATCTTAAATTTCTTATTTGAACGTAGAGGACGTTATCAATTTCCAAACTCTTGGCGCGGTCTCAAGTAGAATGTAGGATTCAGGATTCATAACAATTTTTCTGTCATTACTGTAATTTACATCAGTTTTCACTCATTGTACATTTCAGACTTCTTTTAAATAAAATCACACAACTTTAAGAATATGAATACATTCATCCAGTAATTAAAGGGTGAAGTTCTGTTCAGAATAGACTAGGATTTACAATTTTTGGAAAACACAAAACATAATTCTGCAATTATGGAATACCATTTAAAACTCATTAGTTAACAGATGATTACTCAGTGATGCATGTAATGGTACTACTTATGGTCTCATGCCACTAATCAACCAATAACCGTTCCTGGCCGTCAATTTAAATGCCTTGCAAGAACCAATGACATTTTTTTTCTCAGGTGTTTGAGGGCATGCATCACCTGTGTCAAACGTGAGCCTAACATGTGGTCATTTGTTTACTACTTAGCTACTGTGTACCTGTGGGTTTATTCTGTGTGTATTTGGATGTTCTAATCTTGGTGTTTTTCCAGTGATTTCTCTAGGTGCAATCCAAATACAGTAGGTGTGTCTTGTTTACCAGAGTTTTGCAAGAGTTTGAGCTGGCTAACATGTGTTTTTTTTTTCATGTGGTTGATTACTGGCATGTTGATTTCCCATTTCACAGCCATGTTTTCATATAGCAATCTCCTATGTTAACATTGTCATTAGACTGGCACAGTCGGGCGATTAATTTGGTTTTTTTAGTTTAAATAAAATAAAAAATTTTGCGAAATGGAGGTGTTAGCACGAAATCACCCCGACTGGCTTATTCTGCAGGAAATTCATTGCTATTAAATATTCATGAATGCACATATTATAATGAGGTGGGCGCGGAAATACGTGCATAATGAGGTCAACATGGTAAAGGTCACACTGCAGACCCAACATGGCGGCACGTTGAAATTCGAGTTTGTCGTAGTCGTCGTAAATAGACTTAAAAAGTAACTCGTACTAGTCATAGAATTAAAAAAAAAATCGGCTGCTACAATCAGCCGACGTCTTCTCGGTCAGAGGTCAGTTGAAGAGACATTGTGATTGGCTTAGATGATTGTCGATTAGAACACTCATTAACATAATTACCCGTTGAAAAATCTATGGGTTCCTGCAGTGTCGATAGAGGGGCATGCAGAATAAACCAGTCAGGGTGATTTCGCAGTTCGCAGTTACAGGGGATTTCGTGCTAACACCTCCATTTTGCGATTTTTTTTATTTTATTCCAACTACAAAAACAAATTAATCGCCCTGACTGCGCCAGTCTACATTGTCATCTATGGATTCCATTAGTGGTATGAGCCCTGAAGGTAGAATATAACCTGTCACATTGCTCATTTTCTAAATCATGTACAGCTTTCATTCTCAAAATTTGAGTCATTGTTGAACTTGTGAAAATATATTTCTATAAAATCGGGATGGGAATGACTTCAATAAACCAGTGACACATTGATCATGCTCAGAAAACCACATGAACAATTGTAGTACAATGGAATACTTAAAATTATATAAATCAGTAAATAAACAAGTTTACTCTGGAAATTTAATTACTACTGTAAAATCTGTATTAGAAGCTGCAGCTTCTATTAAAATGGTACAATGCAAAAGGAGGGATGCGTCTTCTATTATAGCATCTACACATAAGATGAGGCTTCTAATACAGATTTTACGGTACATTTTTAATTTGGGGGAAAGTGGCAATCTGGTTAAAATTGGTGTGCATTTTTATTATTTATTTTCAATTCAAACAATTTTAACAACCTTCACGAGATCTCGCTCAACTCTCTCAAACTTTAATAACCAATCAGAGAAGCTTTCTATACAGCAATGGTTGGAATTTGAAGCTTGCCAACACTGTTCAATCACTGTATACAAGCCTTCTCCGATTGACTAATCTTGTTATTTGAGATCACGAGACAGATCTTCTACGGAAGTTGTCACATCTTTGGTTGGGTTTTCGCAGTCAGAAATTTAGAAAATAAATTAAAAACGATTATGAATTTAAAATT